GCTGGGAGGGGGCGAGGAGGAAGCGGGTGCTCTCCTCGCCGGAGGGGCCGCAACGCTGGGCTCCTCCTCCTCCTCTCCCTCACACACCCTCCCGTCCCTCTCTACCTGCGGGGGACCCGGGCAGGAGGAGGCGGCGGCGCGGACCGGCCCGGCGACAACTGTCAGTTAGAAGCCCCGCTGGGCGTGGGGGAGGGGGACGCGGGGAGGAGGAGGGAGGAAAGGGGGAGGGCACTCAGCCCCCCCGGCCGGGCGAGCTGTGCAAAAAAGCAAAGAAAGAAGCCCCGTCGCCATCGCTGCTGCGCATGCGGAGTAGAGCGAGCTTGCCCCGCCCCCTCGCTTCCCTCCCGGCTGGGCCCAGGCAAAGACTACAGGTCGGCGGGTAGGTGGCGCGGGCGGATGATGTCATCAGCTCGCGGCAACTGTAAAAGGCGGGGCTCGGAGAAACGAGGCCTCTGCGCAGCCGCACAAGCTCCTCCCGATTGGGGCCGCGGGCTCTGCTAGAACGGTTGCGGGAGGGGACCTTGATTAGTCCTGCAGGTTTCCTCATGTAGGTTCTACCTCGTAGGGGCCCTAAGGGTTATTAGCCTTAAAAAACCCTACCACTAGTTCTAAAGGAGATTGCTAGATGGCCTTCGTTAATGACTTGGATAGCGAGAACGCACAAAATCCTATCTGTTCTAAAACTGACATTGCACCACTCCTCCCTCCACTGGTTGTGGTGACTGCAGGTCTTTCCTATAAATTCAAGTTCAGATCTGTGGTTCTTAGGGTCTCTATGCGTCCTGGTTGACTGGACGGGATCTAACAGCAGCATTGAGAAAGACGTTAACATGCAAAAGGTAAGGTGATGAGAAATTAAGTGGTTATCTACTAAACTCTTAGAAAATGCTGCCCCACTTCTTAACATTATTTCCTATTTTGGAGGCTAATATTATGTTTTCCATTAAAATTAAAAAATACATTATGCGTTCTTAAGGTCTGCTAAGAATGAGGAGCGAACGCGACCTCATTTAAAATATCCCTTGAAAAGAAATGGGCTCCAAATATTCTAAATCAAAGCAGTCATGTCCGTAACATGATCTTAATCTCACCGTATGGTTTTTATTACTGTTTAAAGTAATAAAAAGACTAAAAATCCTCATTCATATAAATGTCCATGTTGCTTAAAGTCACTGTATGGATCCACCCCATGAAAGGTCTATCCTTTGCTGACTCTTCACCTGTCCAAGGATAATGTCCTTTTCTAAGGCCTGGCCCGTACTAATGCCCAAAGTAATAAAGAACCCTGGTTGCACTTTCTCCAAGACATATTTGTTCTATTGGTACTCCATGACCTATTCAGCCCTCTTCTCCAACACAACACAATGGTATCAATTCTTTTGTCATCTTTAGTCATGTCCAACTTTCAGATGCATAGCAAGTAACCGAAAAGAAATCAGGTGCACTTTAGTCTTTAAACATTGCTCTCTATACCTTGAAGAAGTCCTTGACAGCAGAATTTCCTAATGCAACATGTCTTTTGGTTTCTTGACTGCTGAGTGATGACTGTGGACTCAAGCAAGATGAAAGCATTAGCAACTTCAATCTTTTCTCCATCTTTCATTGTTGTGTATTGGTTCAGTGGTAAGAATGTCTGTGTCCTTAATGTTGAGATGTAATCCATATTGAAGGTTAAAGTCTTTGATCTTCTGAAGCCAGCATTTCAAGTCCTTTCAGCAAGCAAAAATAAGTAGAAAAGAAGACCTAATGATTGCACAAACTTCAAACTTCGAATTATTTAAATACAGAAAAAAATAGGTAAATCAAGGAAATGAAAGATATTAAAGCAATCAGGATATTTTACATCCTGCGACTGTTAAGTTTTCATTAAAAAGAATTTTCAAGCAGAAACCTCAAAGCTTTCTTTGTCCACTGAGTTAAATATTAGCCTGAGGTGGAAAAGTTGACCAAAACCAAACCTGTTCCCATCAAGCCAGTTTGCCAGGTTGTAAATCTTTCAGGGAAGAGACTATATATCTCTACAAGATCTCTGCCATGCTCAGTCCCACTGTTGCAATACAAAGGTCTTTCTTTCTCTTACTGATGTTCTACTTTCCCTCGCATGTCTGGCACTTACTGAAAATATGCCCAAAATGTATGAGATGAAGTTTTGCCGTCCTTGCCAGAGTCAAACTAAAAATCCAAATCCTCTGCCTTGGAGTTGATTGTAGCTCATGGTGACCTTCACTCAGTTTCTGAGGCTGCACCTCTTTGCTGGAGAAGACTATGCATCTTATATTCTCAAAACAACTGGTGAATTTTAAGTGCTGATGTGGGTTTGAATTGACGATCTTTCAATCAGCATGCAAGCCCATTTGCCACTGCACCACCAGGGCATTCTATGATAGTACGTTGTTGTTAAGTACCATAGAGTCAAAAATAACTCATAGCTGGCACGCCAGTGGGTTTTCAGAGGCAGCAAATCAGGAGATCGTTAATCCTCCTGCAGAGCAGCTGGTGGATTTGAACCATGTGCCTTTGGGTTAGCAGCACAACTCCTTACCACTAACCCAGTATTGTGGGAGCATTTTGAATTCTTAAGGTGCTAACATCCTCTCTATGCCCTTTATCTAATATCCAAGGTCGGCTCTCACCTTTTTTTATACTTTATTGGTTATTTACAGTTTTCAGTGCCTCAGTGCCCATAGATATACCCGAGCTCACAGAAAGAAAGGCAGAGAAAAGAAAGTCCAACTTCAGCAACTGGTAGATTTACAGTAACTCGCTTATTGCCGTTGAGTCAGAGCCATCTCGTAGCTGAACTTCCACTGGGTTTTGAGTCTGTAAACTGAAAAGGAGGAGACTGCCTGTCTTTCCCTCTGAACTGCCAGAGGAATGGACCAGCACAACTCCCTGAAAAATGTCCCGCGAGAGCTCTTCCTAACTAGTATTTTGGCTAAACCTACTGCCATAGTTGATTCAGAGGCATAATTACCCTGTAAAAACAGAATTGAATAGGTCCATATGGGAGAAGGGTGGACAGTCTCCTCCAGTGCAATTTACTGTCTCTGGAAACCCGCTGGAGGGTCACTTATGGTTTGGTTCTGACTCACTGGTAAACAGGTTTCTAAGGGTATCATCTTTATAGAGGCAGCTGCCACATCTTTTTTCTGGCTAGTAGGTTTCAGCTACCAGCCTTTCATTTGCAGCCTACTGTTTAACCACTGCACCACCAGGGCTCATCAGAGTGAACATCCCTAATTTCCACTGATAAAGCCTCAGAATTTGAAACTTGCCCTACCCATATATTCTCCTCCTGATTGACCACTAATTCTATTCACATTTCCAGTTATTAGCATCTCATTGAATCCTGAGCCACCAAGTGCTTTACACTTGTTTCCTCCTTTATTTCTTACTAAAATCCTGAGTGGTGGTGTTGGGTGCTGTGGAGTGAGCTCCAACTCACAACCCCATGTACCACAGATCAAAACCCTGCCCAATCCTGCACTGTCCTTACAATCTACTCAGCTTAAGTGTACTGTTGCAATCACTGTGTCAATACTTCTTAGTGAGGGTCTTCCTCTCTTTCACTGACCTACTTTCCCGAGGAGAAATAATAGGTAATCTCTTCCCTTTTGAAGCATGATATATAATGTTCCACTTGTACTCTGGGTATTATCCCTAATATACAGGTGAGAAAATTGATGCTTAGGTTAAAAAAGGAGTTTGCCCAACTACATATCCAGCTCTGTAACACTTCAGAGATTCCAGTTCAGTTTCTTCCAGCTGCATATAAAAGTGCAGGCCCTGGGAATGCTGATCACGAGCAAGCATCTCAATTTGCATTGCAAAGTAGACGGGAGAGGGAAGAAAACGTGCAACAATGAATGAATAAAAAAAAGAGCTCCTGAATTAAGGGATATAATAGAGCAAGAGGTGCAAGTGAGGAGAACAGGCTTCAACTCCAGCTCTGAATGTGAACTGAGTTCACTATTAGGATGTACAACAGGGCTTTTAAAAATCCACTTTATAAATTTTTATAGCTAAATTAGAAAACATAAAGTGAAAAGAAAAACCACCTTTAATCCTTCCACCCAGAGGTAATTTAATACTTGGTAGTGGGAATTTTTTTTTCTATTTACTCATCTATTCTTTTTACTGTAAATAAACTTATCAAAATTGTGGTCACATTGTACATGTGTTCAACATTTTCTTCCTGTTAATATTTCTATGGGGTGGACAAGAACCGTGTATCTAAAATCTCAAGTTTATTCCTCTTAATAATGACTAGAATGGCCTGCCCATCTAAACTGGGTGTTGTTGAAATGAGATAAACCTAGTCTAAGAGTGATCCTACACCACAACCAAAAACACAGTAGAGGTACAAACAATAGCAATAACAGCTACCATTTATTCAACATTATTTGGTCTTAAATATTTGCTACATACTTTACGTACATGGTAATAGTTTCAGTAAATTATGATAGATCTTGGGGTGTTTTAATTTTGTGAGTTATGATTTGCTGAATTGAAAGCTTTCCCCCCATCTCACAAAAAAAGCTCAACATTAAAGACCAACATTCCAATGACTATAATTAACTGCAAATTTATAGAAATTTAGGGAAAGGTTTTTTTTTAATGTAATGCATGTTTACCACTAAATAATTGGTCGCAAAGTTGTTTTCTATTTCATGTTAAAAAGTGAAACTTAACTTTCCTTCCTTTTCACATTCACAACTTTCTGTGCTACTATACAATCTACTGGGAACTTGTTAAAAATTGTACTCTAAGCCCTATTCTAAATGAGGGCTCTCTTTTTGTTGAGCTGCTTTGCAAGGTGGTAAAGGACATACATAGACACAATGGTACTGGGCTGCAACACATAATACTGATTCCTTCTACCAACATTGCTTGCTTGCTGTTTATGCTAAATTGAGTGTTTCAGTATATTACATGCTACCAGTATTAGATATACTAGGATTTTCTTCCAGTAACCAGGGTTCCTGGAACTATGGATAACTTTAAAAGTACAGTCTTGTTAAGAGATTGTATAATTCTCAGCGGGACACCTTGGGAATTAGACTGTGACTAGTCACACCAAGTTCAAGGATTACAGTATGGACTCTCACATCAACAGCTTCTCAAAAATGTCACACAATTTCATTCGCTTTCATAACCATGGCAACCAGATGTATTCTCAAGGAGGAATAAGCCTGCCACTATAAATTTCTTCACCAAAGATGTTGTCCTGGCTGTTCTCTACCTTAGCGTATTAGAACGTATTCAGCATGACATCTTGGCACCAAGTACACTGATTGCTCATGTAACATCAATTGTTCAAACAAATAGGAAAAATATGTATGTATTGCTTATCAACTAGGAGAGGGGTGGCAAACATCCTAAGACGATGGAAGCAGAGGTTATTACCAAGAGATAAAGCATGCAAGATGAACTAAAGGCGGGAACAGAGTTAATGTTGGAGAAATATGGGGAGGAAATGTAAACTGACTAGACAGGAAGGGAGCAGCTCTCTGGAGGGACTCTATCCCTAACATTTATTTGGAGTTAAATACATGGCAAGTGACATTCAAGTGCTTCAAGCAAAATTTAGCAACTCCTGTAAGGCTGCCTGCTGTTCCTCATTAAGTTGGGAAATGCATCCCAACCATAACTCTTCATCAGCCTGAACCTGCCGCACGACATGGGCCAGACGTTTGGCACAAGGATCTTGGGAGTTAATAGTCTCATTAACTTTTCCTTCGGCAATTATACTGATTATTTTGGGAAGGTTGGAGTTATTTGGGCCAAGTACAATTGGGTGGTTGTTTTCAATTAAGTCACAGAGAAAACTCAAAGTCTGAAGGGCTTCTTCTTTGTCCTCTTGCAGGGGAAGCCACGATAACCAGTGTGGAAGAACTTCGTCCACATTTACACAGTTAGGCTTAAACCTCAAAATCTTCCCTATTGCTGAGATACAGTTTTCCGTGGCAATGACATTTTTTTTGGTTTTAGAATTTGCACATTTAATAACTTTTACCAGCAGTGGAACAGCTTCTGAGCAGAGAGAGCGATAATCATCTCCACCAAACTGTGCCATCACTCCTAGGCCATAAGCAGCAGCTTGCCTGACTTCAGGGTTGTTATCTCGCATATTTAGGAGCATTGGCCACCGAAAATAGTCTACATATTTGAATGAGGTCGGACTGCAGTGCTCTATGAGGTCATCAAAAATGCACAGTCCCCACTGTCTGTCTGGCCATGGCCTACTGGAACAAATGAGATTTACAATTAATGGGAGTAGCTGTTCAAACCACGGCAAAATCTTTTCCTTGTAGGTACTAAATAATGAGTGCAAAATATCTGATACTTTGGTTAGAATATACACATCACATTCATCCTCGTCTTGCAGAGACATTTCAATCTGCTGGTCATAGGTTTCTTCTTGTCTTTTGACCTGGCGCAGTTCTTGATTTTTAAAGTGGCCTTCAAGCTTTGCTTTCAGTATTCTTCCCAGTTCTTCCAAGTGCTCGTCACTGAGGCACCCATCTCCCATTACTTCAATGGACTTTGCAAAAGAATTCATTATTTCTGAGAGCACGTCTGTATCAGGTTCTGTCCCAATAGCCTTGATTAAGGGATCACATATGAACTGCCACGTCTGTGCTAGATACTCAGATCCGTTCGTTTTTGCACATTCTAGCAGAAAAGGCATGGACTCTGCTGCTGCCACTCGAACATTGTCATGGAAGTAAAACTTCAGTAAGGGAACCATCAGCTTGACAACTGGTTCTGTATATTCCACAAATCCCTCCCGTAACTCTTTAGCATAGTAAACCAACATCTGGCAAGCAGTTGCTTTTGCTTCAAGTCCTGATGTTTTAATTCCAAAACTTTGCTGGTCTCCAAGATTTACAAATTGCCAGCCATCATCCTCGCTCATATTCTCCACATCCTGTGTGTCTAAGAGAGCTACGTCAGGTTTTGCTGAAGCAGTCTTAATAAGTGGCTCGATAACCAATGGAAGATACTGTTGAAAATCTTCTCCAAGAATTTTACACATTCTAGCCCATGCGGAAACCATGTAAGAGATCTGAGGGTCATCATCTTCTATATTATTTAAATCTGATTGCGTCTTCAGCAACAGCTGCATCACACTGGATGCATCTTGCATAAATTTTTCTTTCCCAACAGCAAGACCAACATGGCTTATGCATTCAATAGTTTTTCCTCTCAGGATCTTGAGTTCCTTTTGAACAGCAAGTTCAACAATGTGCTTTAGAGAGGGCATAAATATATCATAGTACGGAACAAATTCTTCTTCTATTGTATCTGCGACAGAAGCAATGGTTGTCACAAGTTGCTCTAATGCCAACTTTGTTCCATTCCGAATCAACTCTTGCAGTTTAATCACCAAGATAGAATGTAAGTTTTTTACCATACCATCTAAATACAGAGCTAGCAATGATTTGGGGCAGTCTTCAATAAAAATAACAAGCGCAGAAGCTGCATGGGATTGCACACGCTGATTGCCTTGGTTTTCCATGGTCCGCAACAAAGCTGGGATCACCATTTCATGGAATTTCTTTTGGAAACCAGGTGCAAAATCTGTAGCCATCTGTCCAAGCGTAGTGCAGGCTGCAGCTCTCACCCTCGGATGAGGATCCTGCAGAAAATGCAAAACAGAGTTCACCGTTTCATCTAGAGTTGATTCCATTTGCTGATGGCATCCTTCTCCGATGGCAGATAAGGCCATTAGCCCACCATGCCGACATTTCCAGTCGGGGCTTTGAAGCAGCTGCATGATATGCTCCTTGGTCATTGGTAAAACCACTTTTCCGCCAAGCCCACAAGCCAGTCTGTCAAGTGCACTCTCAGCAGCAACCGCATTGCTGTCAAAGTCATCCTCTTCCATTTCATCAGCATTCACCCAGTCCTCATCATCTTGCAGATCCACCATCATCGCTAATATGTGAGGTACAGCCTGGGCAATAATATTTGTATGCTTTTTCAACATTGGGGTGGCCGTTTCGGACAAGGTCACTATTACTTCAAGAGCGAGCTGGCGTTGCAGATTACTAAGCCTAGTGTCGCTGCATAACTTGAGACTCAACTGCAGAGTATCTTCCAAATAAGGGCCCAAGTACTTGGGAACGGTGTCTGCAATCTCAACAAGGGATTCCAGGACAGAATCATCGTCCTGATAGCATGAGTCGCTCACAGCCTGTAGGATTCCCGGGAGCAAGTCTGCAAAGTCTTTGAAAAGAGCCACGTTACTCTCATTCGCAAGTACAAAGGCAGCTGCCGCTCTCGCGGACAATGTCCTGATGGCAGGATGCTCTTGATCTTGAATGCACTGGTCCAACAGACGTTTGATAATATCCAGATCGTGCCGCTCTCGGTTCCCAAAAATCCCAGGGAAGTGCCAGAACACGTGAAGGGCAACTTCCCAAAGAACCACATTCTTGGAGTAGATGGAATCAATCAGGAATTTCAGACCCTCTGGCCAGTGGTTGGTGCCCTCCTCATCTATCAAATTCCGGGCCAGCACTGCAAAAATGTCGCAAAGTTTTTTCCTCATGCTGGCATGCGTTTCTAACTTAACAGCCAGGATCAGTTCGATCTTGACGTCCCTCTGAACCTCGGGAGGTAGATTCGGATAGACTTCCTCAAACCCGGAGGAGAGAAGCCGCCTGAGCAGGGCGGCAGCCATTTGCCTCACCTCGTAGCCCGCTCTTCTGTTGCGGACGGCGTCGATCAGGAACGTCGTCTTGCACAGGCCCGGGATATTTTCGTACACCTCCTCGGCCTGCCTCCGCACCATGCAGCTTGAATTGATGAGGTTCTTCAGAAGCTGGTAAAACTCTTGCTTTTCCGTCATAGCCCCCGTCCCGCCTGCAGCCCCGGCGGCCGCCATCGCGTCCTGTCAAAACCAGCGCGACAGACGCAGAGGGTGGGGACTGCGGCGCCGAGTGCTGACGTCAGCGGCACCCCGCGTGGGTGGGCGGGAGCGCCTCCTCCCGGGTCCTAGCGACGGCCTGCGAGCTGGGACCTGCGAGCGGGGAGGGAGGGAGGAGAGACGGGGAGGGGAAATTAGGGGGAGGGGAGGAGGGTTTCCATTCATTTCCCATTTATGTCAGATACAGATAATGTACCGGCATATTAAGAAAAACAAACTTAACGTGTGTGTGTGTGTGTGTGTGGTCTACTGGGACTGTGATTTTCTCCTGCCCTTTTCTGTAGCCTCATCTGCATTGTTGTTACCCTCATAATTTAAAACAAATATAAGTACACTTTGTAAAAATGGTTAGGTGGGAGAAAGCAGTCACAGTAAGCATTGATTGTGTAATTGCATTTATAGGTATTTTATTTTATATTTATATGAGCAGGTATATGAATGATTTCGTAGCAGTAGGGAAACTGGAAGGCGTGGGGAGTGACAGCGCATGGGCACGAGAGTTTCTTTAGGAAGTAAGAAAATGTCCTAAAATTTATTGCGGTGATGGTTGCAGAACTCTGTAAATATACTAGCCAATATACTGTAAATATAATAGCCAATGTTGTTGTTACTTGTCCTCAAATCAAGTACAACTCATAGCAACCCTATGAACAACAGATCGGAACCCTGTCCTATCCTGTGCCATCCTCACACTTGCTGACACACTAGAGCTAGTGCAGCATTCACTATGTCGATCCATCTGGTTGAGGGTCTTCCTCTTTCTCTGACTTTGTATGAGTACTTTGGCACACTCATTTTGACCCTTACACAGGAATGTGAAGCTGGTCAAAAAAGCTGCTACCATTAGGTAGATTCCTATTCATAATGACCCAGAGCAGAGCAGAGCTTCCTCCTAAGGTCTTCAAGGCTGCACAGATTACTTTGATAGCTGTGTGAAAACTGAAATGTGAAGGTGGAGACAAATACCAGAAAGATATTTATTTGTATTGTATTAACTATGCGAAGACATTTGACTGTGTGGATCATACCAAATTAGAGATAACACTGGGAAGAACGGGAATCTGGAAACATTTACTAATGTGAAACCTATGCCTAGATCAAGAAGCAATTGTCTGAACAGAACAAAGTACATTGCCTGGTTTAAAATCAGGAGAAATGTGTATCAGAGTTATAGCCTTTCTCCACATGTATTCAGTCCATTGACTAGGTAATTCAAGAATTTTTACTATATAAAGAATAATGTGGCTTCAGGATTTGAGGAAGACTAATCAACAATCTGCATTATGCAGATAACACAACTTTGCTTGGAGAAAGGGAAGAAGAGTTGAAGTATTTTACATGGAAGATCAAAGATCCTAGTTGCCCTCAATATTGATCACATCTCAACATCAAAATAAAAAAAAAATCCTTACCACTTGACCAACAGAGAACATCATGGTAGATGCAAAAAAGATAGAAGTTGTCAATGATTCCATTTTACTTGGATCCACAATCAATACCCATGGTACCAGTAGTCAAGAAATCAAAAGACCTGTTACATTGAGAAAATAAGTTGTCAAGCATCTCTCCAAAATGCTGAAAAGCAAAGATGTCAGATTGTGGAGTAAAGTACACCTGATCCAAGCCATGATTTCTCAATTGCTTCCTATGAATCTGAAAACTAGACAATCAATAAGGATGATTGAATAAGAATGAATGCCTTTAAATTGTGGTGTTGGAGAAGAGTACCAAATGTCCTGTGGACTGTCAAAAGAATAAACAAGTCTGTTGTGGAGGAAGTGTACCCAAAGTGCTTCTCAGAGACAAGGATAGTGAAAATTCTTCTCATATACATTGAGAAGGTTGTCGGAAGGGACTAGCCCTTGGGAAAAGACATCATACTGGGAAAGGTGGTGGGTAAGAGAAATATAAGAAGACCCTCAGCTAGATGGGTTGACACAGTGACTATAATAATGGGCTTGAGTGTACCAGAGATCATGGCATAGGACAAGACAAGGTTCTGATCTATTGTTCATAGGGTCGCTATGCCTTGTAGCGTGCTCAAGTGCACTTAACAACTACAGCAACATAACCTACTATGGTTAAGGGTTGTTGACAGTATGAATCATGGCAGAGGTAAAAAGCAGAAAAAGAGGACAGAAAACAGAGAAGTTTTCAAAGGGAGACTCACTTGAGCTGAGGGTGGGAGGAGTCCAATCTCCCTGAATGCAGGGACATTCAGGTGGAAGTGCTTCAACATACCCCTTTATGTACTTTTACATGGGTGCTGTTACAGATTCATTGTTCCAATTGGCTTTGCTAGACATTAGCTTTGGCATTCACTGTATGATAGGTGGGAACCTGAGATAGGGTACGTATAAACGAATCCATTATGAGATTGGCCAGTTTTTTCCATCCCACCAAGTTTAAATTGAACAGACTTAGCAGCAGAAGATGGGAATCTAAGAAGAAGCAGAGAATGCAGTGTAGGTCCTTCTGGGCCAGAGATTCCTGCACCGGTCTGACCGGAACCTACAGAAAGGTAGCAGCAGCCTCAGCAAAGAACCAGAGACCAACTAACTTGGGGAAGAGAGCTGTGTGTGCCCCACAGAGTCAGAGTCAGGGGCCTCTACCCCTAGCTTGTTGGAGAAGTGAGGGAAGACACCGGGATTGGCAGGACTAAAGACACTTTGGACGCTCTAGTGGCCTAATGGCAAGAAGCTGTGCTTCAATCCCAAAGGCTCCCAATTTGAGGCCACCAGCTGCTCCTTGGGAGAGGGGTGGGCAGTCTTCTCCGGTGAGATTAATTGCCTCTGAAAACCTGCCAGAGGGTCAGCTGTGGGTCAGTTCTAACTCTATGGTATACAACAAGCGCTCTTTGCAACACTGACCTAAACCATGAGGCTGAAAGTCAAAAGATTTGTGAGCGCATTAGAGAAAAATGTCCTGAGAGATTGTATGCAGTCGCCAACTTGAATTGTAACCTGTTAACTTCCCTTAAGGAACTGTGAGTATGGTTCTGTGATTTCTGGGAAGCCTTTGAAATGGATTTCAGACCTAGCAGTAGAGTGATGAGAGCTCTGGGTTGTTGTGAAATGAGTAGAATCGATGCACAGCTTGGCCTCATAGGAGTTAGTTTTGTGAATGCTGTTGGGGGAGACTGTTCAGTTCCCCCTTGTGAAGTTGCAGAGGTCAGAAGCAGCTGCCTCAATGCTGTCCCCATTCTTTGCACAATATGAGTAAAGATCAGTGTTAATACAGACCCCCCAAAATGGTTCAGCCTTTCTGAAACAAAAGGAGGTGTGTCCTAGCCTATTTCTTAATTGTGCTCCACATGGTAGAAAAGTGGTTATCGTTTGACCAGTAGGAACCAACCAGAATCCAAATGAGGAAGAGTGTTGATGATCTTTTATTTTAGAATGACAAATTCTGATTTACCACCTTAAGGTGCATCCTCTCTGAATTATATAATTCTGTTCTTTTTAGTTGTTACATTGCTATTCCTTCCCTTTTCTCCCCTAAGAAGTTCACACATAATACTCCAAGCCTGGACTTGTAGATTCAGTTAGAGCCAAACAACTCCATTACATTTTGTAATTAAAATTGCCTTTGCTTAGCACTGCTGAGAGGCCAGCTCAGGAATGTTTCCACAATGTGGTTCAATTCAACTCGGACAATGCAGGTGCTTATTAGCAGATTACTGAGTAGGAAAGTTCAAGTAAGTTACAAATTTCTTCCGAGATCAAAGAGATTTAGAGCCAAATGAGAAAGACAGATTTAATTGGACATACCTTTTAAAAAATGGATATACCTGACATTTTCATAAGAATAATCTAGAATAATTAAAAATACAGAAAATGATTTCCACTTCTACTAGTCTAAAACGGGATAATCTGTATGTCCAAAAAAGAATACTGGCAATGGATTAAAAACCATCACACATATAAATAAAAGTGAGGGTTTTGATATTTTTACACTCTTTATTGTGATTTGAAACAGCCCTGGTGGCCCAAGGGCTAATGTATTGGGCTGTTGAATGAAAGGTCTCTATGAGCCAGAACTAACTCTACAGCAGTGATTTGTGTGAACATTTACAGGGAAAATTGGTTTTCCATCCCACAGTTCATACATATTCTGTGTTGTGGCGTTGATCACAGTCTCCATATAGTAGCAGCATTCTTCCCACTTCCTCCCTGTGTTTCCATTCTCCTTATTTCTTATTCCTTCCTGCTTTCATCCCTGGGCCAAAGCTGCCCTCTTGATCTAATATTATCCAAATTGTTTTAAAGAGTGTGTTCTTCCCTGCTGTACCGATCACTTTACAGGCCTGTCTATTGCTTGGCTGGAGGTTGAATCATGAGGGTGATTCCAGTTGTAGACTTGAAGGTGATTAAATGATATAGTTTAGGGAGTTTCCCCAGCCTCTAGAATAGCCATTAACCTGGTCCTTTTTTATTGTTTTGAGCTTTGCTCCACACTTTTCTCCCACTCTATCAAGGACCTTCCACTGTGATCTCTTTTAGAATGACCAGCGATGGTAGTTGGAACCATCTCGTTCTCTTCTCTGGGTCAAAATCATACTCATTGCTGTTGAGTTGGAACTGACTCATAGCTAACTCTCCGGTGAGTTGTCAGAGGCTGCAAACTGCACAGGAAGAAATTGTCCATCTTTCTCCTTCAGAATAATAGCAGGTGCAATTTAAACCACCTGCCTTTGGATTGGCAGTACAACTCCTTACCTGGTAGGCCACCAGAACTCGGGATAGTGGAGACTAAAGTAATGAGTTTCATTAAATGTCCTTTCATGAGAACTGGTGGAATGGTCCATGGGGCATTGCACTGGTAACCAGATGGCGAAGCATCTCTGGCCATCCAAATCCACTGGCTACTCCTTAGAGAAAGATGGGGTGTTCTCCTCCCCTTAAGATCTGTATCCTCAAAACTCTAGAGAGAGAGTCACTATGAGTTAGAACTGATTC